ACCATTTCTTGATTTTTGCGTGTTATACTTGCGCAGGTTCCATGCTAATCTTCTCTTCTCTGTATCATTCCAATAGTCTTTAACGGATCTCCCGAAGGACATTTGCCGTATCTTGTTAATTTTTGTGCAAATCAATTTATAATAATTTTACATGTATAATATATTTGGCATTATTTGCAGAACTCGTTCACTAGGCTCAAAGTGCTGTGGCGTTTTTCGAACAAGCAATATGGTTCTTTGATGAGCTTTTCTTATTAAGAGGCTTTTTTATGACTCCAAGTAGTGGCATCGTTTACACGACAGCCAGAAAGTCGTTCACAAACTTGGCAGCAGCTGATAAAAATCGATGTTGTATTAAATTTTGTGTTTTCAATTTTGCATGTCATAATGAAGTGCGCCCACCGCCTGCCCACCAACAGTGCAATTGCAGTGAATGTTCGTCTGCATGTCGCGAAAAAGCGTGACAAACGTGCGGCCGATGATGTCTCTGCAATCGACACACAAAAGCAGTGCAGTTGAGAAAGAAAGTTGATTCTATGAAAGGGGGACTTGACTCTTGAGGCCGACGTGGCAGGTTCGAAGGGAGTTCTTATCAGGCCACATGTACCGATCCATAACTATTCTTCTTCTTCTTCTTCTTCTTCTTCTTCTTCTTGTTTCATAAAAGTGCAGGTTGTTGTAGAGGCTGGCTACAAGGCATATGATAGGCCTGCCAGCACCTGACCATTTCATCATCCCGATGTATTGGCCTGTGGTTACTCTTTCTTTGATCTGAAATATTTGTTTTCGTTTTTTATCGGATCTGAAATAAGTCGTACTAGCGATGAGATTACGGCATTCTTCTTGCATGCAGAAATGGCTTTGTAGAACAAAATAACAAATTAAAAATAAAAAAAATAGTGATGTACTGGTTAAAGCTAGGCTACCAGAGTGGCCCGGGGTCACTTGCCCGGCCGGGCCAAAATAATTTAAAAATAATAATAATAATACTATTTCTGAACTTTTATTTTTATTTTTAAATTGGTAAAGAATTTCGATGTGACCCTGAGGCAAAAGTTGTTCAGTTTATTTTTCTGCATAACATACTTTTTTTTTCGGATTTTTTTTTTTTTTTTTTTTTTTTTTTTTTTTTTTTTTTGCTGGGAGTCCTTGCACGGGCTGGTCACTCGGGACCCGGGCGGCCCGGCTGGTAGCCTAGGGTTAAAGAGGGGAAAAAAAAAAAAAACGAATTCCCAATAGCAGAACACTCGCCCTGATTTTGGGTGAATCTGACAGGGGACACCTGCACCCTGATTTCGGCCGAATCTATCTGGGAACATGTGCATTGGGTACCCCAATCACTTCAATGCGTGATGACAGCAGGGGGTGTGTTGCGCCTAAACAGGATCGGGAGGCTGTGC